TCGTGAAAATGTCACATTTACGAACGTTGCATTCCAAAATTGTTATGAAACATTTAATTTCGAATATTTAACAATTATTCGCCGATTCGGCRAAGTGATTATCAATGAATATTTACCGAGCGGCGATTCCGTGACACTGAGCCTGAGGTGAATAATTGTTTTAGTATAATTTTATAAGTGAATATTCATAAAAATAGAGAAAAAAGAACTGCTGTATTTTCGTAAAATGCTCGTTTAATTTCGTGTTATAGTTATAGTATTCATTGTGTTATTACATYGATTGATTTTAGTGACATTTGACTATTTGTATTGCCATTTTTCAGTCATTTTATCAAAATCTTTACATGCAATAAAAACACTTCATTTATTTACTTTTTTTGCTMWCWTTGACACTTGATATRATAATAAAGCACTTATTTACTGGAAACCTCTGGAAACMACTGGAAACCTCAGCTTAGCTTCGGGAAACATCAGCGGGATCACATCTCGGGAMCACAAAACATACTGTTTCCCTCGGTTTCAGTAAATAAGAGTTAATTGTACTTATCTAATGTAATATTAAATACTCACTAAATTTCTAAATGATTAACTTTATAGAAAAATGTAACTTGCTTTTGACACAATATTTTATAATAATAAATATGTAAGCTTATTCAAGCGTATTTGTTTCTTGTTCTTTTAACTTGACTTTAGCTGCTTATCTAAGTTATTAGTTTATATGCACTCAAGAAACAAGAAATAGTAATGCAACTAATTGTTTCTAGGTTTTCGGGTAAKTTTTTGGCTTTTTTCCCCTATTCTAGTTCTAGTTTTGAGATTCGCACTGTAAAACTAGTAACGTCAAACCATGGTTCATACTGCTATGAAAACACAGTRCTCGGCAAATCAGAACGCGCGTGGTATCTAAGTTTTATTTTAATTTTTCGGTCCGGTATACTAGTCATTCGCGCGCTGTGATATGCCCGGTCCGACGGTATCCTGCAGCTAGAAAAAAAAAAGTTGGATAAAATACAAATAAAAAAATTAAAATGTTATTTACCGGCTATAGTTCGGTCCGTATAGGAAAACACTGCCCTCGGTCTTTTATGTACGGACCTCGCTGAGCTCGTTCCGCACTGTCAAGACCTCGGGCAGTGTTTTCCTATACGGACCTCCAAGTCGGTAAATAACATATATTTTATAAGTATATTTGGAGGGATAACTATAGAACTCAGCAACAAAGCGCTACTTCTATTTGCAATCAGACCTAGTACGGTATTCATTAATCCTCCTTTCCTATATTTGTGTAGGTGTCCATCAACACGGCTATAGACTTCATTGAAAAATTTCAGCCTGTCGAAATGTGTGCGCTCCACCTGAGAGCTGTTTTTGGTAGGTATGTTACATTAAATAATTACTAGTCGCTGGTTGCTATAGTAATTCAATTCAATTTCAAATTTTCATTCATTACAAGCAGGTTTACTTATAGGGRAACATTTACATCTGCATCAGAATTATACTAAAAATGCTTACAGTCGATATCGCAGAGTTACAAAATGGGTTAACAACAAAAAAGTTATTATAACTAATCAGTTATAACCATGAAAATCCARCATTTCATTTATACCCATTTCATATTGAGCCCTCCCTAAAATTTCMATTTCCAAGTCTCTGCCATTTCTAGGGTGACATCTTTTCTTTCTCCCCTTAAAATAATCCATAAATACCTTTACTGGGAAATTGAATAATTTCGATGCTATATAATTTTTTAGATTACACTAGTTTATTCAATATTACGTCCACAAGAACAAGCTAAAACCTTTCCAAAATGAGAGCATATTTACATGATCATTTTATTCAGTACTTATACAGCCTTTTGCACAAATTATGAGACATTTTTATATATATAAATATACCTAACCAAATATCAAAAACACCCAAGAAAATATGGGATACCGTCGCTGATATTTTGTCTGTAACAACCTGATGCTAGGCAATCATGACAAAATGTAATAGAGATATACCATAATTTCTGGGGTGTTTTTTGATATTTGGTTAGGTATATTTATATATATAAAAATGTCTCATAATTTGTGCAAAAGGCTGTAGTTCCTTTTTCTTTCAAAGCAATTAATATTTAATCGGTCTAAGCTAAAATACTAGAAGTGTCATGCAAATTTCAGGGTGTTTTCATTAATTCGCAGCTTAAGCGATTCCAGTTCGTTGCTGGAGATGCAGGTGAATTCACTGTTCTTATTGAGTAGTGACAAAACACTTCCTTTTACTTCTTCACATCGCCGTAACATGGCGTTCTTCAATATCTTGTGTATAGTGCTGCTCTCGTTTGCAGGTAAGTTCTCTGACACTTTATTTGTGTCCAGTTCATAATTTCATCAATTTTAACAATTAATAGTCTTATACTTCTGGTTATTTTTTTTTTAACTTTTTCAATCATATTTTCATTTTTTGCATCTAGCAATTTTGCCTGTCCTTTTTTGTTTGTTTGTAGTATGTTTGTTTGTTTTCTTTCTCCCTCCTCTCTATATCTGTTTCTCTCTCCATCTACCTTTTACTTATATTCTATGACTACAAAGTTATAAGGAAAAAAAGATTATAAAAAACAATCAAGTTTTTAGTAGACTCGTGMAATGATTGAGTCTGGCAGGATTTACAAGGCTATTATTTTAAACGACATTAGTTGTGTCTGTATTAAATTTATTTTTTCAAGCTAGAGACGACTCAATTTCTTATCATGCAACATCCTAGCTGCAATTTTAAAATATTTCGTGACATTAGTTGTGTATCCAGACAGAGCGAAATACCCGTTTAAAAAAACTGCATCGATCGCTATTTTCTAATGAAAAAGTAATGCTAAAATTAAGAATAAATCATGCAACGTTAAGGGMTAAAAAAATAACGTTAACTCTTTGTCGAAGTAAAATAAAACCAACATCCGAAACGTCGATCAGCTTTTCAACCTTTATGGCGGAATATATGTATACAGCTACAGTCATTCCAAGAATATCCTGCTGGCCACTATCACTTATATAACAGTATATGATAAAGTTTTTGTTTCAAATTTAAACATTTAATTTGTATAGGAAATACCACCGTTCGACACGAATCAATGAAAAATACCTCGCGTGCGTATTTGATGAAAGTGAGATTTAATGCCATGAGTACTTCGCGCGATATTTTTCATTAATTCTTCAAGAACAAAGTTGTTATTTCCACTTAATATCACACCTTCATAAAATATTTGTTTGTTTCGCTTTAAGAAGAACATTCATAGATAGGTAGTTAATGACAGATACTTTATTGATAGAATATTTGGCAGACCGTGAAGTCTAAATTACAAACTTTTAAAAATAGATAAATACAAACAACAAACTATGAATTATTAAAATGTCAMGATTAAATGTTAATGTCAGTAATACTGTTTCTGTTAATGCTTGATGCTGTGCTAAATGTGTTCTTAAAGCGATCGATCTTCCACTTTTGTTTTTACCATAACTTGCAGAATTCTCGCGCGCTGATTGGTCGAGAGCCGTTGTCGATCCTAGGACAAGCCGATGAAAGACGAATCGCTCGACCACGGAGCCGGCGCGCGCCAGAAACGATTTTGTTTTGAAAGTTTTACTTTGGCCATAAACTTTACAAATGTAAATCACTCCAACGTAACGATTTTCGTACGTACAGGCCAGGGACTACCAAGAATAGTGAAAACTAGTTTCGTTTATTAAAACCTCTTCATTTCACTATATGTTTTACAACAGTTGAAGAAAAATTCGTTTAAAGTTTTACTTTGTTTTCGTCTTTGTTATGGCACGCTACGCTCGTGGTTCCACTTGAGTTTTGATCATTTTCTGACGTCATTTTCATTGTCGATAAGCGTACAGACCATAGAAAAACGATTTCGATTTGTTAAATGGAAAAATATCCTCAGAGAACGTGTTAGATTGTTCTTGGCAGGGAGCATGTTGTAATCTGTACACCAAGAAAATCTAGAGCGTCATTGTATRCAAAACTAGGGCAGATGATTGCTAGTGCTCTTTTCTGAATGCGCTCCAGTTCAACGTTCATATGCTTTGGTGGTGGAAGATGGAACACAGGTACTGTATAGGTTACGATGGATTTAACACATGTGGTGTAGAATAGCACAAGGTCATCACTAAAAAGCACTTTTTAGTCGACTATCTCAGTGATATGATTATTCCTTAAAAGATTATGTGATATTGTTACGCCAAGMAACTTTGCAATTTTATGATTTCTAATTACTCTCCTTTGATATGATGACTCAAATCAAAGGCAAATGCTGTTTGGAGATTCACAGGTTAGACTGTGGAACAAAGGTCAAGCGTGCTCACGCTCTTGACATCAACAAACACGAAGAATAATGATGAAGAAGAACGATTTCTTGCAATTCCTTGAAGAACGTTTTATTAAGGAAGAGCGCCCTAAGGCTGTGGTACGGAATGATGATAATGATGATAAGAATAGGGTTGAACTACAGTAATTTCCTGGCGAAAGTTGCAGTTCATTAGTAATATGATTTAATCCTTCGAGCCTTTTTTTTACGATGGTGGCTCTTAAAATTTCAGATATATTTGTGATTCTTCAGTATAGTTATATACCTATTTCAAAAAAGGTTGTCGGATAAAATGGCGAATGGCAATTGTCAAACGGCGATTGCACGGCCGAAAGGAGCCATGGGTTTTGCTAATGGATGGGGAATAATGACTAATTTTTACCGTAAGATTTCCTATGGTCATCATTGGCTCCATTTAGTCTCCTTTTTCACGCAAGTAAACCTAACAATTGCATTTTTTGTATGTCAAACAGCGTGACCATAGTCCCGTTCGGTCGTGCATTCTCCCTTCGACAATCGCCGTTCGCCGTTCTCCCCGACAACGTTTTTTGAAATAAGTGTATATCTGACCTTACAATGATGACAAGATGTCATCGAAACGTCGGTTCTTTGCGTTAGTTTTTCTCAAATTCAATATCAAAAGTTAATCTTACGTAGACATGACTAACATAACTATAACATATAACATAACTATCACGTATTGTATGTAAATAGCCTAGCACTTAGCCTTTTGTTCTATACCATGTATATACAGCCTTTTGCAAA